AAGGTCATGTTTTAAAAGAGACATGCTTAAAATGTTATTTTTGGCCCGATAGATTAATAAATAAGTAATGATTGTTATCAATTTCTCAACATTTAGGGTTAATTATTGATGAAATTTCAATGATAAAATTTTGGCGGTTAATTTAACGATAGATTACCAACTAATTTATGATGGATATTAACGACGTACAACATTATCTCGTTGCTAATTTAAGGTGTGATATGAGGAAATGATTTAGTGACGGACTTAATTTGTCACTAAGCTTATTGTTTAAACTTATTGTTTTTCATGAGCATTCCACAAATGACTACTAAAAACTAGATAAAGGTCTAACCATGAATCTTGTCGTAATCTATTTTGATTATCCTAATTTCCAAATTGGCATATTGTATAGTTTCTTGATTTTTCATGATTTTTAGGCATTTCTATAGATTTTAAGGATTTTAATTTCTTATTATTATCCCTTAATTTTAAGGATTTTAATTTCTTACTATTTAAATTTATTCACTTCGATATATTTCATGCGATTTAATTGGATTTATTTATTTATTTTATATACTTCGAATCTACTAATATATATATAGTTTTGTCATATATAAATTTCGTGTGAGAGAGAGAGAGAAAGAGAGAGAGAGTTAAAAGTGTGTTTTGGATAATTTGAATTAATTTTTTTAAAAAATAATAATAAGTTAAAATAATAATTTGACTCAATTTTTTTAAAAAAAACTAAGTCAAATTATTTTTTAACTAATTATTATTTTTAAAAAAATTAAGTTAAATTATCTAAAATACACTTTTAGTTTTCTCTCTCATCGAATTTATATATGTAACTACGTCACTCTCATTTAAAAATCATAAAAATAATCAATCATATAAATTATAATAATATATTTTAAAAAATAAAACAATCATGTTTTAAAATTTTATTTCAAAATCCATATATAAAAAAATCAAGTTTATTAACATATAAAATTATATAAATAAAAAAATTAATTCGATAAAAATTTTAGTAAGAAACAAACAATTGAAGAAATAAATTTTAAACAATAAAAATAATATAATCGGATATATATGTTCAAACTAAGTTATAAAAAAATATCATATATATTTTATTACCGTAAAACCGTACGTAAAACTAAAAACAATAACAATTTTTTTTATATATTTTCACATATAATTTTATGATAAGAAAATATAAAAATAAATTATCGAAAGGAAGGAAGGAATAAAAAAAAAAAAAAAAGGCAAAGGCTACCTAGGACTGCTTATGCATGCCTGTAAGCCAAGCCAGGCTTAATTGAGCCCGCGACCAGCCCTAGAAAGAACAAAAAAAAAAAAATGCTACAATACATGAACAGTGACACCCCCAAATTTTTTAGTTTTTTTTTTTTTTTTCAGTAATACTAATGGATCTCCTTCTAATAAACGCGATGATTACAGGCCAATTTAGATTTTGATATAGTAGTTGGCCAAGTCAAAATTATTTGACATTACTGATTTGGAGTCCCTCGTGTGGTATAGTTTGGCATTACAATCCTGGTTAGTCAAGACAGGTGGTATAATGAGGCTACATATTGGAAAATCTCTAATGCAAACTAATCTAACCACACATATAGAGAAGATTTACAATTTATAATTAACGGAAGATAGGCTTGATTGAATACATAATTTGCTTTATGGAAGTTAGGATCGTATGTCAGGAAATGGGCAGTAGAACTCTCAAGTTTGCAAATCCTAATAGCCCAGGCAGGTAGAAAATGAGCATGCACATACACATTTCGGTCTCTTGTTAAATCAAGTCAGCACACATTCATTTCTATATTTTTCAAAGGAGAAAATACAAATGGTTGATTTCATTGGTAAAGGCCCAAAATCCTAACATTCAATAGGCTTACAGCCTTGTCAAACATTACAAAACATACCTCTTAGTCTTGGATTTATGAACATCTTTCTAGGTTGTAACAACTGAAGCTATTGGGTGGAAGTGCAAGAAAAGGTCCAGAAAAATGCCATCAGGTTAAATATAGTTTTTCGAGGTGATAACACGCCTAAAACCAAAATAGCAGTCAGATTGGAAACTTGTAAGAGGAGCATAGTCATCAGGGCCCATGCTTACAAAAAAAAAAAAAAAAATCAGATACTCTATCAGTTAGTAGAGGCTAAAAGAAGACCATGCCTGTAACCAAGGGGGCAATAGCTGGACTTTCAAAACCATAATCAGCTTTAACATGTTTGTACTACTAACATGAGATTCAGTTGTAGGTAATATTATATGAATCTGCCAATGCTTGTGACTCTTCTAACTAGCATGTCTTTTTTACAACATGTTTTCTCTTTAATTGCACCAATACCTTCGTCCAGTTTGGTTGTCATGACAACACTGCAATCTGAATATCTTGAAGCTGCACTCACCTATCCCTGATTGACAACAACTCTTTAAAGCTGCCTCTCGACATCAAATCCAAACACTTTCAGTTGTTAGAGCCAGGAGGCTTGTGAATTTAGTGGAATCCTCAACTCTTCCATGGAAATCATTATTCTCCACCAACTCCATTTTTTTGTCGATTAGTCTCCTGCATTAGTAAGAAAAATACAAATATTTGCTTGATGTTTACATAAATGCAACATCCAACAATGTCCTGAAACCTATGCCTAAAAACAGATCAAAAGCTTGTGTTTTTATTATTTCTTAACTAGATAATTCACTTAAGAGGATCTATCAACTTGCCTTTTGGTAGATGCATGCAGCTACAAGAACTGGATGCATAGGGCATGAATCCAAATATCAAAAGTAAACCTAAAATACTGCAGCATCCTAATGAGAAGTTGGGACGATCACTTAGAAAGTTAATCCAATATGTTTATTGTTGAGGAAATTTAGAGGCATTAGATAAGTTAACTAAATACATCTATGAACATTTTTTCCTTAGGAGGGCCTTTATGGGGATGTAGATTGATTTAGGATTAAGCACAATGACACAAAGTTTCAAGACATAGAATCAATGAGTTTTCTACACGTCCAAAACAACAGGGAACACCTTCAAATCAATGAGTTTTCTGCACATCAATTTACTGGATAGCTGAATTTCCAATATTCTAGATTGATATTTCAACCTTGTACGAGTACCTATTCCGCCATATGATATTATTGTTTAAGACCTACAAATGAAGCATCCAAGTGATCTTGATCTAAGCATTTGATATTTGACAACCTAGTACTAATGTAAAGCAAACAAAACAACCATATTCCAAACATTAATGGTCAGCTACAAACTATCTCAAGCAAAATCAAAAGATTTACCAATATGCTAAATCAATAACATAAAATCCCTCACCTCCTTAGTTTACATTTTAGCGGGATTGCTTCGATGGAGCAGAACATTACTTTTATTTTCTTTCGCTTTGCACCCGTCCCTCAGAAACCAAACAAAAAACTATTAAAAAAAAAAACCAATCCAAAAACAAAAAAGAAGAGCTACATGGATTCCTCAAGTTGTTTCAACTCCTCTTTCTTCTCCAATTCCTTCTTATACTCTCTCAATCTCTCTTTCATCTTTTCCTGTTACACAACAAACAAACAAGCAAACCCATGTTACTAAAATCATTTATTTTTCACTCTAAAAAATTTCAATTAAAAAAAAAGTATCTAATTGTCTTGTGCTTTCTCAGCAAACGAACAGACAGCACAAAATAGACAGGGAAAATTGGAACCTTGTAACTAACTTCTAGACGGTGCATAACGTAGAACCCAAGAACCCCACCAATAATTGTGCCCGTGATGATCCTTACATAACCCCATTTTTGGGAATTCAACGCCATTGTTTTTCTTTTCTCGCTTTCTTAGTGACCAAACACAAGTCTTCTAGGTCACTTTTTTGTACTCTTTTTGTGAGCTAAACGCGCCGTTTAGGTTAAGAGGTGGTAGATGCTAACGAAGTGGCGTAGACGTGGTGAGGTAGTAGTGTAGATTTGTTTGGCGGTGGTTCTGTGGTGGCGGAAGCGGCTGTCTAATGTTATCGTTTGGTATTTTAGTTCATTTCTGCAAGATTCCTTGATTCATTGAGAGTAGAAAAAATTGAGTTTGTTGATAGGGCCCATAGGCCTAACAAACAATGGCTCCAAACCCTTTACAACCAATATGGGCCGACGAAACGGGCCCAAACGGAATATAACAGGGGCAAAGATTGTTACAAGGTCAGCGTGGAAGTGACAAAACAGAAGATGACTAAATCCTTATTATTAACCTTGTGTTTGTAGCGAAAAAATTAATTAATCCCATTCATTTAAGAAAAATAAAAAAGGCAATGTTTAATTTGTTTGTAATTTAATCACAAATTCATCTGAATACATTAGCTTTATATGTTTTTGAGATCTTTCCAATAAAAAACTTAGTTTTGATAGACAAATAAATAAATAGTTGAAGATACAATTTATTGTTAAATAAAAAATAAAATAGTTTTTCACAAGGAAAAAAAGATAAAAATTTATTTATGACAAAAATGAACGGTTAACTTTGGTACAATGATAATCAATTATATCAAATTAATCAATTGAAATTTTCCTTAACTCAAAATTTTGTTGTCACTAATATAAATGGCTAACAGCGTGGAGAAGATCGAGGTGATGGTGGTGGAGGAGATTTATGAGGGGCTTGATTCCTTATGGATTTTTCAGCTAGGGTTTTCTGTCTCCTCATTAATTCATTATCTTTTGCAGCTTCATAACTTGCTTGCAATGTTTACTTAAACATATCTTGAAACACTTGTTCTGTAGGTGAGAGTTATAAACTCCACCTCCTTGTCTTTGATTTTACTTACAAGCCATGTTAAATAATGTTTCCAAAATTTCTAACTGTACGATTATCAAATGCCAGATCGAAGTAGCAAATTATACCAGCCAATTAATCATGGTTTTGCAAAGACATCTTAGGAAAGCATGCAAAACCCAGAAGAAATCAAGTTGCAGTGTCTCAGACCATAAATAGCACATTTATACAGTAGTCAGACACCACTGGCCAAACCCTCGATTTCAAGGTTGAGAATATGTTGATATGATGCAAAATAGGCGCCCCAAGCTACAATCGGAGAGATTAATTTAGGTCCGTGAGGAACAATACACCTGCAAGGTAAAATCAAAATGCAAGTGTCTATGATTTAATGTTCTTTTCTTCCTAAATTAAAAGATAACAGCTATGTCAGAGCATAAATCGTTATCAGGATTCATACATATTATAAGATTAAGTCAAAGCATGAAGTTACATAAAAACATTACAGATAGTCATTTCCAGACATCCTACATAAACAAGGAAACATAACATGGTTTTGGAGTCGCATAACCCTCACAGACGGCGATTGTTCCAGAGGACCTACATAAATAAACAGTCATTAATTATGTCTAAGTGCAGCATATCTCCACAACTATCCCAAAACTCCACTTGCACAACTTTTGAAGGTAGTTTGATCACCTCAGCCCATCAATGCATCAGCTGATAATTAAGATATTAGTTGAGTATTAAAAAAAAAAAAACATCAATTATTAAATCAATAGTTCGCCTACCTACTCAAGAAAACATATTTCCAAACATTCTCTTCACATTAGTTTTATCACTACCATCAGCAGCATGTTCCTGCATGCTTGGACATCATTCCACAGGATAAATCTTATGTATAAAGGTATGTTAAAAAAAGCAAATTCCAAGGTTTTAGAATCATCATGCCATTTCCTAGCTAGGACAGACTAATTAGTGTGTAGTTACGATTTGCACTATGTAGTTCTTGTCGACAAAGGCATTGATTCTCAGCGGGGATGCAAGCAATGGCCTTAAATAGCTGATAAAAGGTTATAGAAGAGCATGGAATGAAATCCCCTGTCATCAGACTTGAATTAATTGGAACACAAATGGTGATTCTTGAATCAGCTGAAAGATGCATATAATTCAGTAATTTATTTTATGATGTATGCATGGCACCAAGAAAATAAAAAATAACTCAAGACTCAAGAGCATATCTTTTGCAAACATTCTCTTGACGTCATTTCCATCAGCTACATGTTCCCGCTTGGACATCATAGAGAATGCACCCAATCATAGGATAAACCTTGTGTATGTATAGTACACATGTTACAATTTCAAGTTGGCAAGACTAGTTATATGATCATATCCTATCTTGGATCCAAGTTGTTAGCACGAACAATTATGTCATCTCCTATCAAGAACCGATGAATTTTACATTAATTAGAATTTCCAGATTGTAGTTTGTATGTTCATAATCTGGCTTGAATAATGGAAAGTCTTGGGATAAGGAACTGGTATCTCCCACAGCGCAGCCAGATACTAGGACGAATGGGGGAAAAAAAAGGTTCAAACACCCTCCAATTATTCATTTGATAGGTTGTGAGAACGCACATGCAAGTAGATCAAAGCATCTGAACCAAGACGTAAATTTTTACACGACTTTTGATGATTACTCAAAGATGCGAGAGCCATCAGTTATCATGGCTGCCGATAGGCTTTCACTCCCAGAAGTACCCACACAGGACTCACCCTGCTAAATAGGGATAGGAATAATAATTCTTAATCAGACAGTCGAGATGCACAGTACGTTACACGCACTCAAAAGCATTACAAATTATCAGAAGCAACAACACAACGCGAACATATGCAGATTTCAAGGAACATGAAAGATAACCACTGCGAGAAACTTGAATCATGGGCAAACAGATTTGTTCATCAACATCAACATTCATGATGAGTATGATGATCATGGTGTTAATAAAGATAGTGATTTAGCCGAGAGAGAGGAAGAGGTTGAAAATAATGACACTGATGATGATAATGTATTATCCGAAGGTGATGATGAGCAGCACGGACAGATTATAATGGATGCATGTGTTGGTATTGCTAAAAATGTAGGGAAGATGAGAACAGCAATAAAGTTGTTTCCTTCGGTATTGGGAACTAATAAACCATATGTGTGAGGACAGATTAGGAATCTAAGAAATTGAACAGGCAGACTACTGAAAAATGGAGAGGCAAAGGTTCTTGGTGGAGGCAATTCGTGTGGCCCCCTAAACATGCGTGGATGCAGGCTTCTCGCGAGGGACCAACAAACAAAAGTAGGGCAAGTATGTCTACTGCATCAGCTAGAATATTTAGGTCTGAATTCCTGGCACAACCACAGGTTGCTGCCCCTCTTTGACAGTGCTTAGCATACTCTACTGAAAGAGCCAGAGCCACCACAGGTTAGTGTTGGATTGGAGGTTTTAAAGAATGAATTATTCATTGGAGGATTGGAAAGGTTTATGGACACTAGGCAGACTCGTACGCGGCAGCAGGATTGGAGGGACAGGACAGCGTTGCAACATTCTCCGACAGTGGCAATTGATGTGTTGCCTATTACAGTCGTAAGCCATCTACAAGCTTTGCTGAATACTTTGTTCATACAAAAACCGTTGCTCGATTCATTGGGTTTTGTTTTTGAGACGTCTAATCACAGATTCTCAGAAGTGGGAAATTCAACTTTTGGAATGGACACTGATTCGATTTTAAATTTGACACATCCGACTCGTGATCAAAGAAAGAGGCCTTTGGTATGGGGCCACAATGACTAGTGGCTAGTCTCTGGTGATGGTGGTGGTGCAATTAGGTATTGGCAGACCAACATGAATAATGTTGAGACCAATAAACTTGCTCACAGTGAAAACCATAGTGGTCAGACTGTGAAAAGGATTCACGCTCCTGCGAAGCTGAAGCCAGAGTTTAACGTGGTAGATTCTTGGAATAGTTTGACACAGGTGACTAGACCGGAACCATCGAGGAGGTACTTGCGGGAAAGTAATGATGTCATTAATAATGTAAAAAGAGATTTAAATTGAAGTTATAATAAAAGAAGTCTGTACTCTCTTTGTCTCTTAATTAAAAAAAATAATAATAAATAAAAAAACTAAATGAAATCAATTTCATCGTTAAAAAAGAGATCAAAATAAAGAAATTATTTTTCATCCATTATTTAGTTTTCAGTATTGATTTAAAAATCTAAATATAAATTGAGATATTTTTTTTAATTATGTAAAAAGCAAAAAATTCTAAGATTTATAAGTATTACGAATTTATATATTATTATTTATCATAATTATACTTTACTCTTTCATGAAAATCAACAAACTAAAAAACAACCTATGAATTGAAATAGGTATGCATGAAATCCTATTCTTTTATTGACCTACAACATGTTCATCTTTTTAGTATATGAACTAGTTTCATACTAACTATCAACTATTATATATGGAAAAAGAGAATTGTTAAACTACAAATTGAGAAAACCCTTAAAATGACACACAAATTGATTTAGAACTACAATTGATCCCTTAAAATGTTTTTAAGATTTGTTAACAACAATTTACTTCATAATGCTATTAGTTCCAAACCAATTCTGATTGGTGTTTAAAATTGTATATGAAAGATTATATGATATTTAATTAAAGATTATCTGATGGTAATAGATATTTCATTTTTTATTTATTTTATAAATAGATTTTTTTTTTATTTTCTAATACATCTAGAAACAATTAATGAACGTAAGAATGTAAACATAATTATTTATGCTTGTATAAATTCTTACCAACTTTTTCCCGTCTCTTAAAAGAGAAACAGACCATCCACGTGGATGGGTAGCATTATACGGATCCTGGGATATTGACAGTCAAAATTAATTATGCATCCCAAACTCAAAGTTGCTTTTTGGAGCTTTTGCTCTAATAAGGAGTTCAAATCCAATAGTCGTTTTTTTTTTTTTTTTTTTTTTTTTTTTTTTTTTAATTTAATTTATTTAGGCGATAAATTCCACCAGCATGCATACAATATTACAAAAAAACACAAATACAAATTACAAAGGGCAACAAAGTTCATCCACCATATTCTATATCCAGAACATTCCCTTTAAAATGAAACCCCACGTCTACTTTCAAATTAAGTTAGATTATACACAAACAAGCATCCCTTCATAACAATGGATTAAGGGATATTGTAGACAAACAAATATCCTTGATAAAACAAACCAACCACCAACAACGTACGAGATCCTCACTTTTCTTCTCAATCTTCATGCACATATATAAAAATCTTAAAAGTTTTGTGACGCTAAGCTCTTCCTGGGGTTTTCGGATCATGGTGATTATTTGCTCCAGTTCCCGGGTAGTCTGTGCTTCCCAAGTCCATCCTCCCTTCAATATACCCTTCTCCCACATCAAGTAGCATCTCTCCATCAGTCAAATCCACTGCATCCTGCAAACCAATAAAACAACCTCATGAATATTGTGTAATTAAGTTTTAGATTGCATAAAAGAGGGGAAAAATAAAGGTCAAGGAAGTATAGCTAGGTTAAGTAAAGAATTAAATGTGAGAGAAAACACAGGTCTTTCTGAGTTGATGAATGGCAGTAGATAACAAAGACGAGAAAAGAAACAAAATTTTAGCTTGACAACTACATGAAATTGATTTGATTTGTGTTACCTTCCTAATCTTGGTTGTTATGGTGAATAAATGATAATTAACACTACCCCCTCCTCAAAAACTAAAAAAACATAAGCACATCACTTAACCGAGAAATGAACACAATCATTTACATGCAAATCATGATTGGTGGACTATTAATAACAACCAATTTTATCCTTAAACCACACACGAACACACCCCAGAGAGAGAGAGAGAGAGAGATGACCTGAGCCAGTATCTCCTGGACTGCTGGTGGGATTTCATCATTTGACTTGAGGCTTCCTATAAAGCAAGCAAAGTCAATGGAGATCAATAATTTGGCATAATTGTTAACATCATGAAATCCATATCCAAAAATCCTTTTAGAAACTCACTAGTTGCTGGAACTGCAACTGAAGATAGCACAAAAGAGAAAGCGAGAGAGAGAACCAGAAGCTTCAGAGAACTCTTGTGCGCCATGTTGAATTGATCAAACGAAGACAATACTAGTAGTTGCGGAAGTAAATAAGCAACTTGCAGTGATGGCAAGAGAAAGCAGTGGGAATGGTGCTTTATATAGCGGACATACACACACCTGTGACTTGAAAATTTTTCTAAAACAGCTTGTATGTAAAAGAAGAAAAGCGACTACTCACCACAAAGTCAACTTACCATTTTATTTTATTTTCCAATGTGTTGGTGAGTTCCCACTTGCCAACCTTTATCTCCTTGGTGTCGTTTTCATGTCACCCATCAAGTTATTTTGTGCCCAAAAAGATGTGTATTATATGTGGTATGCTGTAGGAAATTTAAACGTCTATACATAAATGCATACACAATTAAAAAAAAAAATTCAAAATTCAAAACCATATACTGGCTAAATCATTTATGGGTTCAGCATGTGTCATGCACTGGATGAATCTTGAGACTATAGTGCCATGAAATTAATCTCGTTGGACCCACGGTTTCAGCATTTCTATGGAATTTTTTTTTTTTAACTGTGTTACATGAGCAAATTAATTATTTGTGTGAAACGCTATACAAAATAATGGATGTAGCTAAGGTTTTGATTTGTTTTATAAATTATGAATTTCGAATTTTTACTCCTAACTTGATAATCCTGTGGTTTAACAGTTAAATGATCATTGCGCTGAAAAAAAAAAAGGTTTAAGTTGTTAGAAAAGATGCTTAATTATCAATATGCAATAGATGCTAAGTTGTCTTTTTGAATATGATTCATTTTCAATATTGTGAACATGAACAGATCCAATTGCTAGTCTTTTTGAGCAAGTGTTTACTAATTCACGTGACTTTATAATTTAAGCTAGCGTTGATGGTCTAAAACCTAATTTTAGCTTGATAGCTAAAAAAATGTGTTTTATTCATTGATGTTTGGATTTCATCTAAGAATAAAATTAGACACGCCACAAGGATTTAGCTTGATAGCTAAAAAATGTGTTTTATTCATTGATTTTTTGGATTTAACTCTTAATGCTATTATCAAATAGAATTTATTATTATTTTTTTTCTAAAATGATATTATCAAGTTTGAACACACTTCCATGTTCATCTAATGCATTTTAGAAAAAAAAATTAATAAATTCTATTTGATAATAGCATTAAGAGTTAAATCCAAAAATCAATGAATAAAACACATTTTTTAGCTATCAAGCTAAATCCTTGTGGCATGCCTAATTTTATTCTTTGATGAAATCTTGTAAAAGCAATTTTTTCTTTTTTCTTTTTAGTCGTACTTATAATTAGAATTAAAAATTATTTTTTCACAAACTTGACAAAACTTGAAATGATATCTAGGAAACAATACAAGAAAATTAAAAATTTTGGGGAAAAGGGAAAAAAATGACTTGTAAAATGTATATAAAAAAATGTTCATAAAGCCTCATATATATAGTTTCCAATTTTTTCCATATACTTATAATTATTTTAATTTTTCCAAGATGTATGCTTATAGCTAGGTTTGTCATTATTATTATTATTATTATTTTTCTGTATTTTGGGTTTTGCTAGTTTTGTTAAGTTTTTGAAAATTTCCTTATAACAATTTTTTTTTCGGTTCTATAATAAGGAATATCTCTAAACTAGTTTGTAAATATATCAAAATTAAGTCTTTTTTGCAAACTATTTTAAAAATATTTTTCCTACATCATCCTGATGCATTAGCATAAATAAATTTTTGTTTAAGTTGATCTCAACATAAATAAATTGTTATTTGTGTTGATTGCAAGGTTCAAATGCATGAAGCAGAGAGAAAGACCCAAGCCTCCTTCGGTGGCATGTTCCTTGGGACTCAGCAAGGAAAGAAATGAAAGCCCGAAATCCCCTAAAAAAATTAAATAGAAGAGGAAGAAGCAGTGAACTTCTCGCGCTGTTCAGTTTTGATAAAATAAATAAATAAATAAAACTGATTGAGAATTTTCTAACGGTTTCATATATAAAACGCATCCTAGCTCCAACCTTCCATGATATTTTTTTATTAAATACACCTAATGTGTTAAAATAAATAAATGTTGCATGTTATTATATGGCATTAGTTACTAGTTCGTAAAAACATATATATGCTCTCTCTCCTTTTTTTTTTTTTTGGATAATAACAAATGTTATATACTCTATATATATATATTAGTCAGAAAGGAAACATCAATTAATAAAAGTCAATCCTAAAATCTCGTGAATGGAACAATATATAAATCAGAATGAACTTAGGCACCTGAAACTTGAATTTATCTATAGCTAGCCGATTCCTTTCTTTCTTTTTTTTTTTCTGGCTTTATGTCTACGGATCACTTCAAATCTATTAATTTAAGGAACGTGTTGGCGTGATTTTCATGGGACTTTGCCAGCTGTATAGCTCATTGCTTGTGCGCTAAAGTCCACTTTTAGAGTTGGGAATTCTCCATTCTTGAATGCTTACATTTTGTTTGTTTAAGATCTTTGATTCAGATTTGGTGCACTATATACTTACTTTTTTTTTTTTTAATCTTTTAAAAGATATGTTTAAATCTAGAGTTCTGCCAATGTGTATTCCAATCCCCTTGTCCATTATGCTCTTGTCTTGGGCAATACATATATTGTTAAAATTATTCTTTCATCCCTCATGCTCTTTTTACTCTTAAAATTTAGCAGTTAGCACTTGTACTTTAAAACTAAATTTAGCCCTAGATGTATAAGTAATTTTATATAAAGTTTGAGTCACGTGCTTTTAAAATCTAGAGAAAAGTTCTTTGAGTTTTTGGCAGATTTCAAAGTTCCAAATAGAAATGCACAAGTTACGGAAACACAAATTTGTATTTTATATATAACTAGCTAAATTCTTTAAGTTTTAAAATCACAAATTTGTGGTATTTCCACTGCTGCACTTTTCCCAACAAAAAATTTTGTTGGGAAGAAGAGCATTTGAAAATTGAAGTTTACAACGAAAAGTTCATTATCTAATTTATCCTTTTAGTTGAAATTTTTTGTCAATTCATCATAAATTAAGTTTGTGATTTGCACATGATATATAATTTGACAAAGTTATCTTTGTTATTTGACAAAAGTGATTTATATACATTAATATGAAAATTAATTTTTGATAAATTAATCAAAATTTTAACAAGAAGAATATATTATAAATCAACTCAAAACATAAGGACAAATTAGAAGTGTTTTTTTTTTTTTTTTTTTTTTTTGAGAAACAAATTGAAAAATTAGCCTATTATATAAAGACAAGTGAGAGTATTAATCCTAATTGAAAAATATAGCTAAAGAAACACTCAAATAAGTGTCACATTAGAAAAGTAGGAAAAGGCTCTATCAAAAAAAAAGTTAGGAAAGTTGTAACCATTTTAAATACACCAAGACGTGAATTGCATGGTAAATAATAATAAAAAGAAAATAAATAAAGAAATAAAGGAAAGAATGAAAGCTAATAGGTGCAGTACTTAAAGCAAGTTTGCATTGTTTTCGATCTCCAAAATGAGATAATATTGAAGATAATATTACGTATTTCGCGTAATTAGCAATTAAATTACACTATTATGGATTTTAAGTTTGGTTCAAAGTTGCCTTTATAGTTTAAGTTTAGCAAACTTGACATTATTGTTTAATTACGTTTCAATTAAACTATAATATATAGTTCAATTTAACAATTCATCTTATTGTTTGATCAATTAGGTAAATTACACTTTAATTTTATTTCCATTTCATGGATTCGTATTGAAATCTAATATTTTAAAACACCTCCTCTTATGTTGGCAGAAACGTGATCTCTTCCAAGTAACACATAGAAAAGAAATAAACTATCTTCCCAGCGTCATTTTCTCCATTGATCATGCGTGTCAAATATGATTTTAATTGTAAAGCAAATTTTCTCTTGTTTCTATCTCAAATTCTTTATCTTCTTGCTTTCTGCCTTTATTGTGACTTTATTAGCGTTGGAGTTTCTTAATAAGTAATACTATACAAATAAATTTTTTATATAAAATTATTTATGAAATTCATACACCAGTTTGTATAGACTGTAATATAAAAAATTTATTTATAAATCAGAGTATCTATATATATATATATATACACACACACTCTGGTAAAGGCAAAATATATACGTGGAACTTCGTTTCTTTTGGTTTATGCACGGTAGCATATGATGGTGATGAAGAGAAAACATTTAAATGGCCATAAAATATCATGAATAGCGAAACAATTGATCCCCACGTGCTCAACACAAAGAAGAAGTTGATGAAAAAAATTTAACTATTCTAGTGACATACTTGATAAAGCTACATTATCACTCCTACTTTGCATCTTTGGTAATTAAGTGATCATAAATTGCAATATCAGTCTCCATGCCTTTCTTAGGTCAAAAGTTAGCATCTTTATGCTTTCCCGATTATTATTTCTTTCTTCCCTTTTTTAAGAGAAAGCTCAACTTTCTGTAAATAAATTATAAATTAGTGTTTTTAATTTTACAAAATGAATTAAATATTTTTTATTTTAAATACTATTAATACTTTGACTAGTATTGATTATCGTTAATTTAATATTATATAGTTCTAAAATATACTTTTTCTTACCAATTTTTATATATTTTTTACTTATTTTTCTTTTTTATTTCTTAAAACAGAAAAAAAATTTAATTATAAATAGATTTCAAGACATGCAAACTAACTAATTAATTTTTTAAACTAAAAAAAATTATTTAATTTATTTTAAAAGAAATTGAAGGACTAATTTATAATTTACTCTATTTCTGTGCGTAAGTAGTTATATCTAGTAATCAACGAAAATAAAATAAAAACACATACAAAGAATTCTCTTTTGAGTCATACTAAAATGTTATCTTCTAAATCTTTTTAATAAGTTTTTTTTTATCATATTAAACATTATCGTCGATCATAATTAAAAAATATGACTTTCAAAAAAATTCTCTTTTTTTATTTTACAAAGAATTCTTATTTTGAGTCATACTAAAATTTTATCTTCTAAATCTTTTTAATAAGTGTTTTTTATCATATTAAAAAAAAATCACAAATTCGGAATAATCCTTGCTAACTAGCTTCGCTCACGTGTCTATGAAAACTACAACTCCTAACCTTAATTACTAGTGCCTGTAACTTTTTGAATTAATTAATGTACGTATTGTTTCTTGTTTTATTGATAAAATAATTGAAAACAGGGAATCCAAGGACACCATAATTGCTACATGTCATTTCAAAGATAGACACATCTGAGTTTGGGCGGTGGACAGACATATGACATTCTCCTTTGTCATGTTGTGGATAGCTCCTTTGTCTCTTAGGTTACTTCCTCGTCAAGCAGTGGCCCATTCCTTAGGTTTTACATAATAGAGAGGCATATCCACCATCCCTTCTAGCTAGCTAGGGAGAGTCACATAAATCTTATCACCAAAATTAATCAGCTTGATGAAAATTCATTAATTAGCTATAGCAACATTATTTCTTTTTCCACTCTTTTCTATTAAACAATTGGAATTTAGTTAAATCTTCAAACTTTTTAGTAGTCTTTATAATCTCACAATACCTCAAAAGAGTTATTGTAATTTATCCAAAGAAAAATAATTAAAAAAAAAAAAGGAAACCTCAAATTTGCCCCAAACATATGACCCTATTATTGATTGAGTCTCAATTTTGTTTTATTATATCAAGTTTACGCCAAACTTATGATAAAATTATCATTTGAATCTCAAACTTTTTGATTATGTCAATTTCACCCCAAACTTTTTTATTGTCAGACGAAATTACCCAACTTGCATTCTTCATTTGTGGTCGTTAAGATAGTCAAGTTTGCACATGATTTTGCATGTGCTCGTTATATCCTTCCATGCATCTAGGTGTGATAAGAAGTCTCAATTTGAAATTGAAAATTCAACCAACTATCTATCCAAATTATATAGGCTCAACTGGCCTTCAATTCATACTTCAAAAACTTGGATAGTACCATTAACATTACCGTTATTTTGGGGGTGGCCTAGCGCAGAGAGTGGTGGACTAGGTGTAGAAACTTGAAGGGTTCTGCAGATATCTCATTCCTTGTATAAAAAAATAAAAATAAAAATAATTAAAATCAACATTGCCATCACCTTTTTTCCTTCAAGTTGCTCCATTAAGCCTATTTGTAACTTTTTTTGTTTTATTTATTTATTTATTGTGGTTTAGATAATCCATTAGATGGAGACATGTTTTGGATCCTCTTAAATTATGATTTTTGTATAAAGTAACCAAGTCGAGAGACTTAGGTTAATTTTGACACCAAAATTATATTTTGGGTTAATTAGAACTTTTTTTAAAGGTTAAACGAAAAGATCAGATAATAAACACGTACAGAATCACATTCAAACTTAACGAATTTGTTAAACATCAAAATAGAAAATGCAAATGTTTAATTTTATGCACAATTAAAACATTTGGTATTAAATTGGTACAATCGATAATGGAGTCATGTGTTTGGGGCAAAGTTGAGATTTCTCCTAAACAAAACCAGTTATTTCTTTTTCATGCGTTATTCCAACTCTCATTCTCCAATTAAGACATGCATGAAGTCACAATTATTTGAACTCCCATGTCTTTCCTACTACTTCCTCGGAAAGGTAGATCCGGTTTTTTTTTTAACTTTATAAAATACCAAAACTTTATTATCTTATTTTTAAATTTTTTTCCTCAACCCATTAAATTAAGAACTCTTATTTCCAATGTCTTTAATTATCTTGTTATTTAAATAATTCACGTCTTTCTCTTCTTTCGTACCAAATTTTTAGTATTTCAGTCTCCGTTAACAATATAAGGTCTACAAATTTTGATTTTAATTTTAAACATGTCGTATTTAATTAATTTATTATTTAGTATTATTTAATTTTCTTATTTTTCTGGAAATTAAATTAGCTAAATTTATTCTCATATTTTGGGAGTTATCTCTAATATATATATATATATATATATATATTTGCATGTACTATGTCATTATATTATTATATAATTTCTAACATGTACTATCAGAATGTCTGATCATCCATATCAAAAAAAAAAAAAAAAAATCAGCATGTGGTTTATATATAGATAAATCACCAATATGTTTTTCATACCAAACTAATATATCGAGAACAGTTAAATTCATCTTGTTTTTGTTATATTCTATAGTATAAAATAATTAATATAATATTTCAAAATGCAGTAGTTATTAATGGACTCGATCCGTTAAAAAAAAAATCCTAACTATATATGCTGTATATGTTGTAGCTTGATGCCTTATCTATTTGTTTAAGTTTTTAAATTAAAATGATTTTTTAACAAATATAAATTAATAAATTAATTGAGGATTGTAAAATTCAAACTTCCGATCAGATTCAAAATTCTTTGATACCAAATAAACAACTCAACCCAATATTTTTGAATGGTTTTTGTTTTTGGGATGAATTTTAAATGTTTAATTGCTTATAAAAGCTTTGATAGCAGCAAGCTTCTAACGGTTTAACGTCATTGTTGTCGGATGATTCATTGTGTACTACGTGGAAGAGAATGTCATTGCCAATATTCAGAGGAGCTGAATGAGTTTTGTCAAAAATAAGGAACGATACGACAAACCTTTCGTTTAATTAGGTTTTCACTTCTTTGCAAGTGACAGCTAGTTTTTTCATCTTTGCAAATTTTGTGAGCACTTAAATGTAGGTTATAAGATAGTGGGGTTGAAAAAAATCTCTCCAACAGTCACATAGTGTTGTAGCCTGTAGCTCTAGACGCGCTCTACTGTACGTGTTCATTTTATTTTGACTTCATATCTTTCTTCTCTCGGTCCTTTTTTTTTTTTCTTGCCGACACAGATGCATGTCGAAAAATAAGAATAATTACACTCAGTTTTTTTTTTTTTTTTTTGGTAATTGAGAAGAAGACCCATCACTTTTTTTTTAATTAGTAGAATTTTGATTAGTTTTTGGTTTACATCAGTCAGTTATAAAAAAAATAAAAACAATTTTGACTTAAATAAAAATTACTTCTAGTCACGGAAGAAAAAAAAACGGAAATAAGTCAATAATGTATCATAATTTGCAGAGAAAAGTGATATGATCATGTACACGACATGCCAACGTAATCGGACAACACCGGAACAAGTGTGATTGTCCCTTGTCAAGTTTGTCTCTCTACCAAACGAGTCCCACTAATTGCATAAGAATCTTCGGCTGAAATCAGTAGTCATAGTTATGATGAGAAGGTAGATATAATGCGAAGTAGCTGGAGGAATGATGATTAACTGAATTGTGGCATAGGTAGTTCCGCGTTCAAGTTTTCTCCAGATTTTTGACATGCATATACTTCTCCCACCTGATAAGTCAAAAGAATAGCGATTAATTCTTGGAATGTCAATCTCCTATGGAAGTCCACACACACCACGACCACGACTCTCTCTCTCTCTCTCTTTTTTCAAATTTCAATAGGGATTATATGACCTGTGGAAATTATAAATTAGTTAACCTTTGTTTACAAAGCTAATTATTTAATTCTTATGTTTTTTTTTTAAAATATAATTTACTTTTTTCAATTTATTTTGATTTTGTATTTTAAGAAATAAAAAAATAAAAAATATATATAAATTAAGCAACGAAAAAAGATGATGTTTTATAAAATAAAATAATATTAAATTAGATATGTATTAAATAATTAATTTTAAAATAAAAAAATTCATTCATTCGTTTCTTGAGAAGAGGACTAATTTATAATTTGCTTATAAGACCATGGGGAATGCCCAATACGTAATGCAATTTTGCAATTTTCATATCCCAATGCCACAATAAATTTCCTAATTACACCTTATCAAACGTGCATGAATGATCCTTGTTTTGTGTTCCAATGTGTCTAATGAAATTATGACTTATCTTGAAGTGCTTGTCTGCATTATACATGCGCATGATACTTTTTGCAGTTAATATAGGTGTTTTTTTTTTTCCTGCGAAAAGGGAGGACAAGCATGTCGGCTATTTAATTGATGTAGAATAAGAATACTTAATACCCCTGTATGCGAGATGTTACATCTTTTTATTTATATATATTTTAAAATATTTGTTTGTTTAAAATTTTAAGCGATGTATTTTATTAAAATATTTATAATTAATTTTTTAATAAAAAAATTATCTAAATATTATTTAAAAATATTATTTTTGAAAAATATGAAAGAAATAGATGATATATATGTTATAATAATTAATATATTTTTACTTTGTTAAAAAAAAAAGACAATCTTTTTTAAATAAACAAATATAAATTACCTCATCAAGAGAATTAGGGTTTCATTGATTTAGGCTACGTTCCAATGCCAGCTTAATACTTGCTGGGTTTCATTGAAATTTCATTCTCATTTTATTCCCTGTCGGCTGAAATTTTTAAGATAAAATAGTTAAAGAGATATTTTCGTTTTGCACAAGATCTTACACTTGGAGCCCCTCTCTCTCTATCTCTCTCTCTCTCTCTCTCTCTCTCTCTCAATAGATCAAAAGTAGAAGAACAACCTAGAAACTTTCGCATAATTTATATTATTCACGATCTTTATTGTGTAAAAGACAAGTGTGGCCACAACCCGTACGTCCTTAATAATCTTTGTACATGTGTATACATGGCATAAAGGATGCCATTACCAAATTCTACTACTCCCTGAACAAGAAAATTATAGTTTGTATACTTGTTGCATGATTAGCAAGATCAATAACTTATTATAAACAAAAGCCCATTATATGAAGCAGATCATACATGCTACTTGTTAATTCTCTAGTTGAATCACAGATTAAGAAAAAGGAAAAGTGACAAAATATTATCAAATCCAGAGTTTGGTCCATGAAGTGGTTTCGTGAGAGCAATTTGTTATTTTACTTGGGTGTTGTGGGCATCTTGACAGACAGTTTTTGGTGAAACTGTTGACGTGTGAAGGTGATGATATCCAACCTCGTATACATTGGCTAGAGAATTAATAAAAGGACTATAATAATGCCAAATTTTGATCCCACCATACCGAGTTGGGTCGTTTTCAGAATCATGAAGTAGGAGCACTAGATTGTTGGTGATTCATCTCCAAATAGAGTTGTTAATTTCCACTTAATTCATGTGAAAATGAAGTATAGAAAGGTATCTTGAATCCGACACACTTATACGGTGAATGTTGAATAACTATCTCAATTCAAAACATAAAATACTAAATAAAGTTTTAAAATCAATTTTATCTTATCTCGATATTCATATACCTTTTTTTAAAATAATTTTTTTTTAAATTTGAAAATGAATAATAGCAAAATGATAGGCTTGTTTTTATCAAGATTTAGATAATGTATGACTCTTCATCGATAATGAAGAACCAAATAAATGGTTTCAAATAAAGAAAAATTGCAAACAACGTCAATTTTATGGTCTATATCCTACTTTTTTTAGACTAATGATTTATGTTTACCATGCATAGTATCTTTCTATAAGTTGAGAGAAATTAATAAAGAAGAAATTATGAAGACACCCTTATTATTGCATACACTTTGTAGTGGTATCATATTGTATCCATATGTAGGATTCTATACAATATTGAAAAAATTACAATATCTTATAATATAGAAAACAATGTAGAACATTATAATATACAATATATATAAAAAAATACTTCGAGTATAATATAAGAAAATAATTATGACTTAATACGACTTCTTGAGTTGAGGAGGGTAAATAACCCACATGAAACTTGGAAGTAGATGGAAGTGATCAACAACTAGAAGTTACATAAGAATATCTATAATTTAATCTAGACGAGAGAAATAAACTTAACGTGAAAAAGATCCTTACTTATTTAATCTTAGACGAAATAAAATTTAACCTTAAGATGCTTAGTAAGAGCATAGAAGACGAGGATTGGTTGGTTAGTTAGAGGCACCAAGATTATCACGCCAAAGAATTGATGGAGAGGGAGGTGCAATAGCTAGATGATGGAGAAGAGATTGAATCCAGAGCAATTTGGCGGCATCATTAGCAATAGTCTTATATTCTACTTCAATAAATGAGCGAGTAACAATTTGTTGTTTACTAGATTTCTAAAAGATGAGATTGTTGTCGAATAAAATTATGTAACCACTCATAGACTTACGATCATCATGACTAGCGACCTAATTAGCATCAATAAAAGCATAAAGTCGATGAGAGGAGTCTATACTAAGATGAAGACCATGATGAAGAGTATGTTAGAGATAATAAAGAATGAGCTAAACGAACATCCATTGATCTTAAGAAGGGCAATACATATATTAATAGGCTTTGTTAACATCAAAGACAATATCAAAACATGTAAGTGTCAAAGCACCAATAATCGACGATATTTAAAATCCTTAAAAAATAACTTGTTATTACCGAGACATATTTTGGTAGAAATTAAAGTTATAATGGCCATGGGTTTGTAGCTAGATATAGCTACTCATGCAAAAATGTCTTGAATATATTTTCATTGGCAAATGAGAAGGCCTTCGGTAGTATATGTCATCTTCATAGTAAGAGACTAAGTAAGAGGACTAAGAACACATAAGTGAAATTCAACAACAAACGAGTGCAATAAGAATGGTAATATGAGAGGATTTACCACCTATGATAAGAGTATCATCAACATAAATTAAGATGAAGATGAAAATCTCAATACTACACAAAATAAAGAATGAAGTATTAGTTTTAAAACTTTCAAATCCTAGACATAGGAGAAATTGATCGAGTCGATAGTACTAGGCATGTAGTGCTCGTTTTAAACCATACAAAATTTTTTGTAACTTACACATATGAGTGAAGTACATAGCATGAAAAAATGATTTCTTTATAGATATATCTTCAATATGAATACCATTCAAAAATACGTTATGCATGTCAAGTTGACGTATCGACCATTACTTAGAAATGACAATGTTAAGAATAATACAAATAGTAGCAATCTTAATTAATAACAAGATTGAAAGTCCTAATGTAATCAACACCTTTTTATTGATGAAACCCATAGGCCATAAGCTTGGCCTTATATCTCTAAAGAGAACTCGTTAGCCTTCTTTTTTGACACGAAAAAACCCCTAACGACCCTTAACAACATTCATATGAGAAAGTGAAGTAATAAAAGTCCGCATATGATTAGCATATAAGACATCCATTTCAAAAAGCATAGCATTATACCATTTAGACTAAAGATTAGCCTCCTTAAAGAAGGTTGGCTCATAATCTAAAGAAGCAAAGAACCAAGAGCTAGCAACATAAATCCTTCTATGGTGTTTGGTCCGAATAGACTTAGTAGTATATTTTTTAGAGTTTGAGCTAAATAGATTTAGCAATATATTTAGCTCTATTTGGAGAACATATACATTATTATTTTATATATGTACAAAGTGTAGAAGGCAAAGCTTATTATAGGTGTTCTATTAACCAATATGTATGGGATTCTGCTTTTGATGTTAGCATATCTTCTTGACACGATTTGCTAGTGGTTATGTTAAAAATCATTTGTAATAAGAATTCTTCGTGATGTGTGGATAGACGTAATTACTCAAGCATTGTACCTATTGTCTTGTATCTCGTGATGTATGATGTTTGTAATAAGGTAGAGTCATCTTAGACCCGAACGATCGGATACAAAGATATTTGTCAATAGAAACCTTTCGGGTTGGTTAAACTAAAAAGGATTGAACCTTATATTTGTCTAGTATTTGAGTGATCTATTATTTCTCACATAGCATCTCTAGAAACAAGGTGATCCATTCTGATTTTATAACTCTAAACTAACATAAAGAAGTAAAAAAATGAATAACAATCCTAATATTATTTTCTCTTTGTGAAAACAATGAAGAAATCTATCACGTGACCTATCCGCGTATTTGGCAAAATTTGATGAGCCCTTAGGAAATAAGACCGAGAGTTGCCCATTTAGCGCGAAGATGAAAGGAAGCATAGCAACTAGCCAAGGTCCTGTTTTTGGCCGAATGAAGCATATATATTTGCAAGATGAAAAGTAGTCTAAGTAGTTTTTTGACACCATTTGCATTCAACTACTGCACAATAAAAAGCTTATGACTTGCCAATATACCATTAAAATTTTTGTATATTCGAGGAACCATCCAAGAAATCTTACAAGAGTATTACGTTACAATGTCATAGCCAAATGACGTAGTTTTTCACCATCTCCATGTAAGTCCGCTTTTGAGTTGTCTGCTTAAACTTAAAGTCTCATTCATTTATAACAACCAAAATTGCTAGAATATGGCCAAGAAAGTGTGTAGCCTACCCTAGTCAACACAAAAAGTTTGTCGCACTATAGAGGTGTGAAATTGAAAATTTGCTACACCATATATGTGTGATGATCCACAAATTCACTAGTGGTTTGATGCTGTCTGAAGATAAATTAGGTTTTGTCAACATACATGCATCATTCTTTCACTACAGATAAAACTTTTGCTCTGGCTGAATTGCTCAAGCCACACACGTGTTGTGGTTCTTTGTTCACAAACACAAATATTGCAGCCACCATCTTCAAATCTTTGAGAAATCTTATCCTTAGTATATTAATTGATAAATTCAAAAGAATCTTCTGTTTGTGCCTTTCTTTGTTTCTGTTTTTTGGGTGCTATTCTTATCTGTTCTCGTTGTTCCCTCAAAGCACATTTTCTCTGTTAGATTCTTTGAATGAGGAGGCTGTACTAGATTGACATTATTGTGGGGTATTGGAGATTTTATTAGACTTTAAATGCTCATATAATTGTTGCTGGTCCATGGTGCATTTATAATGACATTGCAATAAACAAAATGTGTTTTGTTGTTTTTTTTCTTTTCTTTTCTTTTCTTTTCGTTTTTTAGTGTAGGGAAAAGGTTTTTGGGTGGGTGCCATAGATATTTATTTTGAGTTGAAAACATAATTGTAAGCACGTCAAAGATAGAGCTTCCTTGAAGCTGTCACTTGTACAAAATATAAACCTAATCCGAGTGCCCTTACAATTAATTAATGGAGAATGAAATTAAAACTTCTCGTGTGTGTGTTTTTGTGACCATTAGATACCAATCTTAACCACATTATGCCTCTGGATATAAAAATTGCCTGAAGTACTAACACATAGAGAGATACGTGCTGTAGTTCTAAATTTATTGGCTTTTTACATTTCTGCATAGCACAACCACGCTGATATCTAGGAACTTATAAACCTCACCATAATGGTATGGCTTCAAGAAAGAATGCAAGGTTAGATATTATAAAACATGTAACTAAAAAAATAGATTTAACTAAATAGTTCATTAGAGAGATATGGTTAAAAGTGATTAGCAAAATCATAAAATTCCATGTTAAAGAGGAGGATGTGAGAAATTGAATTAAAATGGAAAAAATAAATAAAAAAGAAAGGAATCTAGAAAGGAAAAATAGAAAACATTTAAGAAATATGTGTCTATAAATAAAAAGAAGAAAATAATATATATAGTAAGATAGTCACCTCTTGTCTTTCCTTATTAGGGAGAAAAAAGATATGCAGAAGAGTGTCTTCTTAATTATGATAAAAAATCACACATAAATTTCCACATATCAATAAAAAAAAATGAGCAAAAAAATTAATGTAGAATATTAAACAACTTAATGCCAACTAAAGAAACCTGCAATTAACCTTTTTCCCTTCTAAGAAGCTTCTACTTCTACATAAACCTCAATTGCTTTTACCTCACAATCACATTAATCGAAAAGTGAGTTGTATATAATTAATATTAACAATTACTATTAACAAACAAACATGCAAAAAAATAAAATAAGAATATGCATTCATAAGAATAGGAATATATAAAAAAGAAAGGTAGCATATATATGTTTTGACCTGCAAGTCGATAATCTGTTTTTATATGTGTGTGTAAAATTAATGTAAAAATTAATTGGAGAGAAAATAAATTATTTTTGTAGGTGCCAAATACATATTTATTATAAAACACATATAAAACTAAGGACCCAATTAGTATATTTTAAAATTTTAGGAGTGATACCCACAAAAATTTAACTCAAGTTCTTTCATGTTTTCTTACCATTTCAACTTTCAATGCACTGAAATAAAATTTTATCCATTAATTACCAAAAATCTTCAATGTAAAAAGAAAAATAATTTAACGAATAAGAATGGACCAAGTGGATGACTGTTCTAATAGGCCTAGTTGCTTCGGCTCCAAGTTCAAACGCTCCACGCTTGGATTCAACCCACAAGGACCCATCGCTCTAAGCTTTCCCCGCTTCCTGGACTACATTTCTGCAGACATGACCCGGGAACTTTTCTGGGTCTGGAACCATGACCCATCCACTCCAACACGTGGCTAGTTTACGTTACCTCCCTAAATTAATGCTTATATCCATAACCCTCTCCTGCCGCTTTGGGATTGCTTGGTAGTAACCGTAACGAACTTTCCATTTCTCACTTTTTTTTCCTTTTTTTTTTCTCTCTCGAAAACCAAAACCAAACCACCACGCTTCATTTTCTTGGGAAGAAAAGATATTTTTGATGCTCAACTTTTAATTTTTTTTTCTAGCATAATGCTCAATTGGTAATTTCTTTTGTTTTGCTACCTAATTTTCTTGACATCAGATTAAAATAGATTCACATTTTATTCGTTTAATAAACAAATTAACAAATTCGAATCATAATCAAAATCGGATAAAAATATATTATTTATTAGATTTATTTACTTACATTGCATTTGGGTCAAGATATAATCTGTTTATAGTCTAGGTCCAGTCCTGTCGTCCTGCCAGCTAAGGTGCAGGCTAAACATGACTGGACCAGGTCAATTCAGGCCCAATCCAATTCCTACAGCTGCGTTGCATTGAGGTTATAAACTTACATGCTTTCGCTCGTGCACTAATTATTCAAACTAAGAGAAAGAAAAGCCGGCCCATATATGTAGCATTCCTGCTTGCTTTTCTGAAGAATTTCTCTCATTTTCCTTACAATAAATAAGAATCTAATACCTTCTCTGCAAAGCAAAAAAAATTTTTTTTTTTAAATCCAATTTAGAAGACCAAAACAACATTCGTCAATCCATAGCCTTCTCTCTTAGACAGAAAAACAGTAGGAAAGAGTAAAGATGGTGGCTCGCCAATTCTTCGTCAACCACAAAGACTCCACCTTCGACGTCGTTTACGAGACCGCTGACGGCCTCGAAGTCAGTCTCTCTCTTCAAAAACACAATTCTCCATTTTTATCGACACTGTTTGTTTATTATTTAATTATTTAAAGGTGAGGCAGTGAATTTCATAAAATTTCCATCATTTATTTTCATAATTTTTGCTAATATTAAAAAAAATTGAAAAAAATTAATATGCAATATGAATAGATTTTTTAAAAAAAAATCACAATTTTTGCTAATATTAAAAAAATTGAAATAAAAAAATTAATATGCGATATGAATAGATTTAAAAAAAAAAACTCTCTGGATAAAAGAATTCAGCAACATTATAATAATGACCTTAACTCTTGTAGGAAAAACATTACAATTTCATAATATTGGAGTGTAAATATTAGTGTCTCTGACTTCTAAAACTATAATTAGTTTTAGTAGTTTATTCATCATACAATCGAACTGACTTAAATTTTAAAATTAAGCTGCCAAAATGATTTTTTTATAGTAATAAAAAAAAATCCTTTTCTCTTTATTTGTTTTATGTTTGACCTTACCACAACATCAAACTAAAATATATTATTTTAATTTCTAATTATATATACTTATAAATAAATTAGAGATAAATGGTGTTTGGGCATCTAAAAGACCTTGCTCTAATATAGCGTTTTCATTGTCACAAGGCCATGCATTCACACCACTCTTTAGTCTCCCCAAGGTAATATGATTATTAGATACAATAATAGACTAATTGTTAGTGTACTTTCTAATATATGGTTTTTCATTCTTATTTTTATCTATCGTGTCTTTTTATATTAGATATTTTTTTTAATGTGGTTTTTTTAATAAAATTCTGATCAATTTTCAATAACAAATGATATATCAGATAAAAATGACACATTATATATAATTGACATGCGAGAAAAAATATATAATAAATAATAAATTGAAAACCTAAAAAAAAAAAATTAAAAAAGATCATTTTTTTTAGAAAACCCGGAAACAAGAAAAGTTTACTAAAAAAAAACTCTTATGAGCACAGATCTTTAAATAAAAATAAAGGTAAAAAAAATTAAAATGGAAGATCTCAATATTCTCTCAAGAACTCCATATTTATGGATTATCACCAAATTAAATAACTGAATATCTAAAAATTGTCAGCAACTAAAACAGATAATTAAGAAATCCTTATCAGAATTGAACAATATTAAAGATCCCAAAATAAAAAAATAAGAATTATCAAATTTTAGAACATATATGGGTACCTGAAATCCCAATCTTAACTATCAAAATTAAATTTCCATCACTTAAAATTTCTTTTTCAAATCATGTATTCATTAATGCACCCAAATCTCATTAATTTGATCCAATCAAAACTAAACCAATTACAAAATAATTGTGTGCAAATTAAAAAACTACAAAAAAATAATAATAATAAAGAGAAAACGAGTTGGAAAAAAAATTTGTATCTTTGAATCCCTAAACCGAAGCCCCGATATCCATCAAAGAATCAAGTAAAAGTGGTCAATTCCCAACTCTAATTAGACTTAAGCCCTCTTGTTTTCTGCATCAACCATGTGTCACCATTATTCCTAGTAGATTCTGCAAGATATGGAGGTGAGAAAAGAGAGGAGTGGTGGAGAGAGAAGGAGGAACGATGAAGAGAGAGAGATAAAGGCGCATTGGATCTAGTAAGACGCAGTTGCAAGAAGATAAAACAAAGTCGATTTGTATTGAATATATGGGGTGAGAGAGAAAAGTTGCTTGCTTGGGATATGTTTTTTAGTGAGAGTTTTAAGGATTGAATCTATGGATTGTTTGCACTTCAGTAAAAGATAATGAAGCTGTGTTTTAAACGAATTAATGTCAATGGTTATTGATATGGTGGTGGTGACTGCAGAGGAAGGGGATGAGATATTTTTAATGAATTTAACACTTTGCTTTGCTATGAAATCCAGAAAAAACCATTTGTTCTTTTAGCTTTCAGTTTATTTTTATTATTATAATTATAATTTTAGATTTTTCTATTTTTTGAATTTTTTTTTTGGTTACGTATCAATTTTAGTTGACATGTCTTGCCACTTGTCACTTGTTGTTGAAAAATTGATTGAGATCTCATAAAAATGCCACATTATAAAAATATGGAAAATATAAGACCCGGATTCATAAAAAATATGAATAAATAAACTATATTAAAAATATGTAAAAAGTATATCGATGAATCATTGGATTAATCCTGCAGTAATAATGGCAAATAGAATAGATTTTTTTATTTGTGCAAATCTATAGAGTATTTTCTGTAGTTTAAAATCTTTAATCTCAAAATGAGACAGTTTTAATTTTATTTTTCATAATAGAGTGTTTTATGTTACATGAACTTTATTACTTATATTTTTCATTAAAATATATATTTTTAAAAAATTTTATTTAGAAAATTAAATAATGAAGTAGGGGAGATAAGTCATATGATTTTATAATCTCTTTCTTTTTTTTTTTTTTTTTTTGCTCTTTCTATATTTATATTTTTCTTCTCCAACTAAATTTTTTTTACAGTTTTTTTTTCAAAAAAAATTATATTTTACACGATGATTAGAAATATTATCCTAACTTAGTGTCAATAATCACACTATAAATCTATAATCTTTGTATAATTGTAAAGAAGAGTTTTAAAATTATTTTGTTGCCATCAAATCGTTTTTTAATTATTCTAATATTATATATGTCAATTGATTTTTAAAAATTATTTAAGAAAAATATAAAAATATGAGTAGATTGTAGAGGAGATTGATGAATTCAGTAGAAAATTTAACTTTTTTTTCTCTTAATGGATTTTCCTACACATGCATAAAATAGCTGTTTCTCACAAAAATATTATAGTATTGATTCCACGTACAATTATATTGGCATGGGATGCCAAATATTACTTTCCACCATGCTATTTTTTTTTTAATTCTAGTATATAAAATTGTATCGTATAAAGATCTGGACTTAATACGGATCAATCTAAAATATATATGTGTGTGTGTGTGTTCGCTCATGCGCTCGTATAAGGGTAAGAAAATTTGGATGAACTAATGAGAATGGTTGTAAGCTTTGCTTGCTCAAAAACACCCAATGCTAACTATACTAAGAGATATAAAAGCGTAGGTGTAAACTTCGAAGTAAGTAATCTTTAACCGAGTAGATAGCATTATGCGAAGAGAGGTTGTGACCCTTTAACCCTTTTGATTTTTTTTTTTTTTTGGCTTGAAAGGAATTAAGCACGATCTTTATGACCTTCTTCGCCCCGATGTGATCATTGATGGCCTTTCTCACTAAAGATAGTTTTTTTAAGAAGAATGTAAAGCTCTTTCCATAGCTACTATGTCTTGAATCTCGACTATTGGCTTTAGTGACAATAGGTTCATAAAGCTTATTAACCTTTAATATTTCTTCATGAAACTAAGAGAGCTACATCCGTATACTTTCTTATTCTTTTTGAATAATAAAAAAAGCTAAAATTTCTACTTTTATAAAGATATTGAGGGAGAACCACATTGTTAATTGTGATGACAAATCCTCCAAGCTACTTATGAAGTTAGGACTTAATCGTTCATACTATTTTCAAACCCTTTTTCCCTAGAGGATCATACACATGGCATTTGCATCACAAGTTATAAGCCCGAGTGTTTTTTTGACATTTTGCATGTGATCCCAAGGTTTGTCCGGCCATTGTATGTCTATAAACTTAGTTGTAAGGAGAGAAATCAATTTGGAAGTTTTCTAAACAAGATGTGGGTAAAGAGTTGTGACTATATCACGATCTATTTTCTTATTTATAGAGTAGGGAATTGTTAATCAAAGTGTTTTTGAGGTAGTTTTGAGTGAGGCTTGAACTTTTGCTCTTTTCTTCTTCTTGAAGTGGTGGTCTCTAGCTTGTTCCTTGTAAAGTAAAGAAAAATTTGATTAGCTTGCTAAATTTTTTATGATGTTCTTTCTTGTCTAACTTGTCATCCTACCCCACGTGTCCTTCAAAAGAAAGTGGTTTGTACACCTTAGAATAAGGTTGTTATAGATGGTTTATCACTCGGTGGTGTTACTATATTCATTTGCACTTGGGT